ATGCTATGTTGATGATGCCAAGTTGTGCTGCCAGGTCAGGGTCCCTTTTATTGTGGCAATAGTAGTCTCTGAGTGCTCAGATGGTTGAGCACTGTAAACCCTATCCCTGATAAGAATTCCCTAGAATGCAGTTCTGGAGTATGATGCTCTGGGCTCTTTTCTCAAAGCAAAATCTTTCACATTTTCAATTTTGAGTCTTTGAAGGGTGGTGCTTTCTAATTTCTCGTATACCTTCAGAGCACTTTTCTACTGTACTGCTGTAAAATACTTGGCTTCTTTTCAATCCTAATCTCTTCAGGAACTCTACTCTCAGCTGCTCCAAATCTATAGGCGTCAACTTTATAGAAGCTTCCTTTCTGGTGAAACTCAAAACAAAATCACCCAGCTTTTGATTTTTCTCTTGTATCTCACTGTAGAGCTGGCTGAAAGTCCCGAATTGTACCCATGCCACAGCCTAAATGTTGGGCTGCCCAACACCCTTAAACTCAGTCTCCTGAAAAGTCTCACTTTGTAGCCCAGTATTGCTTTAAATTCCCAGCAATTCTCATGTGTTAACTCCTAAATTTTGTGATTACAGATGTGAGCCATCATGCTCAGATATGAATACATGTTTCAGGTGTAAAGTTTATAATATTATAATGAAGCTGAACTTTTTGATCAGTTGAAATATTTTCCTTTATTATTAAATATTGCCTAATATACAGCTTATATTATTGGCTTAGGTCAATAAATGAAAAATTTAAGAGATATCTCTCAGAATCCTAGGAAGGAAATGTAGCTGGCCTTAAGACTGGAACCAGGAAATCAAATAGTAGGAACTCAGGCCATATATTAATATGCAGTTACATAAATGTTTACCTCAACACTTCTCTGAATATATACTTCTCTTCACTCTCTTTTTTGGAGTAGTTGGGTTTGATCTGTTTCTAAAAGAATAGAGAAATGGCTTGGCTTCCCTAATTTTAGTTTTAAATACTTTCTCTGTACAAGTAATCAACATAGACTGACTTGAATCTCTTAATTCTAAATTTCTAAATTTATATAACTTGGTGCCTCTGGATAAATAGATCATACTGGACTTTGTATATGTGCAGCTTAGTGTACTATAGTTTTTCCTATCCTTTCAGTGATCAATAATAAAATAACATATTTTAGGATTACTGTTGCATTTATTAAAATATAACTGAATAGAGAAAAGGAAATGATTAGCAGAAAAAATATATTAATTTCAATCCATTATCTTATGTTTGATATGGTGTCATTATTAATTCAAATCATCTAACTTATTTAAGATTCTATAATTTTACACTTTTAACTGGAAGTTTACTTGAAATTTATTTTGATGGAAGAAATTAGGTAAAAATTTAAATTATATACTGACTAAACCCAGAGTTATATGATAACATATCTAAACAATATTATTCATAATAATAAAAAAGACACTGATATTAACAATATTTATATATTACTTTCTTCGAACCATTCACTCTTTTAAATATTTTACATGTGTTTTTAATTTTAATTTTCATAATCAACACTCAATAAATCATGAATATTCAGTTTAATGTGTGATTATACTGAAATTTTATCCATATTTTATTTTGCTATATTTAAACAGAGCTAATAGTTTAAAAAATTTGTCATATTCAAAGCCTATACTTTCTATCATTATTTATTCCGCTTTTGGCACTATATAAATTAACTATCATTTATGAATCATAAACTATTAATTTAAACTTTTTTATTAAATACTGAACTTAGGAGGAAATTTTGATACAACAGTAACAGAGAATAAACTAGAAACAGTTGGCTAATAGAGTAATGTGCATCGAGAACAACTATAAGTATTCATTACCTGATGAAAATCAAAGAAATATGCAAAATCCTTTCCCTAAATAATATTTTTATATTACATTCTTTTATAAAGAAAATACATTGGAAATCTTGCACTCTGGTTTTAGGCTAGTGGCAAAAACAAATTATGTTTTCCACAGGAACCTGAAGTGATGCCAAAGTAAAATATATTTGTAAGTTTTTACAAATTCCCAAATCAATATAAAGAAAACAAACATTAATTCAACTTTCCAGAATCATTGAACAGATCTACGCAGCAATGTTTTAAGAAAGAGAGACCAAACTTGAAAGACAGGAATGGTAGCATTCATGTTATAACATACTATGCAAAATAATGGCATATCTCTGTGGATGTGTAACATCATCTCTGAGGAATTAAATTGTGAGACAGATAGATAGATAGATAGATAGATAGATAGATAGATAGATAGATAGATAGACGAGTACCTGGTTTCCACACATACTGGAAATTTGTGAATATTGTTTCTCAGACTATTAAAGTAGGTCAGCTCTTCATGAACCAGAAAATAATACAGGAATGGGAGTAACTTTGTTACATGGATATATTATAACATGAAAAGATAGAAATAGTGCTATCTACTAATGCTCTATTTTGATCTATCCTTTTATTCTTCTATGGAGGATCTCCTTGGCACACAAGTGTTTAAGAATTAAGAACAAAGCACTATTCTCATAAGCTTGTACTCACATGTACCTTATTGGCTGTGTTTTCAATTTTCTACTCATTATTTTGCATTGTTAGAATGATATTCATTTTAAGGTCAGGGGCTAAAGGGCGTGAAATTGTTATATTTCATCCAAACGTGTTTCATATCTAACATTATCACATAGGTTTGAGAACAAGAAACTTATATTTGAACTTTGTTACTTCAGGGTAGGGAGATCTAAGCTATTGTTTTTAGAAGAAAGTAGTCATTTTGTAATGTTACTTGAGACCTGAAGAAATCACATGAGTGACAAATCTGGGGACCATGAAAACCTGAGTGATTTTGAAAAAATGGGTTGATGTAATAAAATATCATTAGTAATCTTGCAAGTAGGATTCAGTATCCAAGAAATGTCAAAAGTTCAAACCCACTGCTCTATGAATTTATACACTAAAGTTCTCTAAATTTTCTCCTTGAAGTACCTAGAAATGTTTAACTAAAGAGGTATTAGCTTAAACTTTATAAACACGTCAAGTTCGTATGCGAGTTTTGTCATTATTTGCATTATTTTTTTACATAGTTTGTCAAAAAAAAGTTAACAGTACAGAGAAAATAGGGAATCGATTATTGATATCTTTTTGCAATATGATGTTTTTGTTCAATCATGAAAGAAAACTTGCTAAAATCAAAATCATTGCTTTAAAATTAGAGGGAGATAAATGATTGCTTCAGAGATTACTGATAATTAGGACCAAAAGTAGTTCCTGGTCTCTTTCAGTCATTTAGTTTTTTTGTTTGTTTGTTTGATGTGTGTGTGTGTGTGTGTATGTGTGTGTGTGTTGCATCATGCTCCTTCAGCTTTATTGTTTTAACTATCAGACAATATCTTGTAAGTAAATATACTAGATGGAAGAACTCTAGCATATTTAACATCCTTGAACATGGTCCCTGAAGGCATAATCTTTTTTTTTTTTTTAATACTGGGGATGGAACTAAGGACTTTGTGTTTGCAAGGCAGGCATCAGCACCACTGAGCTGAATCCCTTAAATCCCCGACCCAGGCATAGTCCTTTAAAGAAGGACAGCTACCAATTCAAGTCACTGAAACTTAGTATTTACATTATGATAATTTTTCATAGTTTCTCTTAGTTAAATGATTGATAGAATTTCCATCCTCGGCCAGGGATTTAGTTCAGTGGTTCCAGGACCTGCCTGGCAAGCGCAAGGTCCCGAGTTTGATCCCTGGTACCAAAAAAAAAAAAAAGAATTTCCGTCCTTAGCCTAATTTAGCGCCTCATGCATGATAAAGTAATTTTTTCTGTGTAAATAACTTAATAATTCATAAATAAAAATACTGTGGAGAAATATAAGGTGAGTATTAAATAAATGATCCAGTATTCTTATTAGGCTAAACTCTTTGAGGAAAAATAACTAAATCGGGGCCGGGGATTTAGCTCATTGGTGCTGCTGCTTGCCTCGCGAGCGCGAAGTCCTGAGTTCTATTCCCAGTACAAAAAACCCCCAAACAAACAAACAAACAAAAACCCAACTAAATCATTAGGTTCTGAACCTGTTCAAAAGTTAATTTTATAGCTCCCGAAAGTTATCACATATGCTACGTTTTTCCACTTTCTCATTTTGTACAGAATAAAAAAAGAAATAATTGCTATAGTTATTAGATTGCAGTTTCATAATGACAAATGATAAGATTTTCAGAGTGTATAAATAAAGAATAAGTGGATAAAAATTAAAGAAATACTACAGTTCAGCTTTGAGAGAAAGAAATTTAAAATATATATTGGCATTGGAAATGCTTTTCTTTTGATTAGACAAAAAGGTAGTAATATCACTATTCAAAGAAAGATTAAGCCAATACAATACATTTGCAAATCTAATGATATATTTAGAAAAATAGAATCCTTGATATAATTTCAACAGGAATTATTTCTAAAATATTTCTCTTAATCTTTTTGGAATCTTCACTTAGACATGCCAACTACCTTTCAGAGTATCTCTTATTTATCTTTGACTAGCTCTGAATTTTAGAAAATGTATCCTTAAAATTAGTTATTAACTGTGCCTGTGATCCCTCTCAACTTCTGGTTTAGTCCTTTTTTTTTTTTCTTCTGAAGAAACACCAATATCAATTCTGCTTTAAATGGATGTGAAGTCAAACAAAAATGGAAAGATAAGAGTCTAACAACCACTGGCTCCAATTTCACATCCAGAAATAGATAGATACATAGATAGATGGAGATGTAGCTATTCAGATATCTATATATCTAGATATAAGTACATAATTGTAATATATTAATACATAAATATTTAAATTAGTATTTATCAGTTTTATCAATTATCAATTACATATATTTAATTCTTAAAATTATGTACCTGTATCCATATTTGATATATTAGAAAGTTTTTCCTCTCTGGAGGAGTGTTAGAATCTTATTTGACCTTAGCTTGATTATATTCTAGGACCAACCGAGGATTTACTAGACATTACACCACACTGGAGAAGAGCAATATTCTATTCACTTGGAGATTTTCCTCTCATGGAAATTGTTTGTCCGCTTTAATTTTGAAATGAATACATGAATCACCTGGTAAGACTATGATTAAAACATCTACCCTCTATTCCTGTATCTGTGTGTGTTATCACCTAACTTAAAACCTTCTGCATGTAGCGTTCTATGGCCTTTGTTTTGGCAAAATATTGAAACAGTTTTAGAGAAACATATTTTTCTTATGTTTCTACTTTGACTTTGGCTTCACTTCTCACTGCACACGATGGAGGTATGGAGAGATTCTGCTCCCTTTATGACAAAATTTCCTTGTCTTCGTTGTAGGTTTTGTCATCATGAAACTGGGCCAGACAAAATACATCCCCACTTGGGCTTTTCTCACAGTTTGTAGCTTTGTTATGATAGTATTCTCTAAATTAAAAAACGATTCTTTTCATATTTTATTCTTTCAGAGTTTAATTGATTCTTTTTTTTTTGGTACCAGGGATCGAACTCGGGTCCTTGTGCTTGCACAGCAGGGGGTGAAACCACTGAGCTAAATTGATTCTTATATGGATTTGAAAAGATGCACTTTCTGTAAACTATTTTGCTCTAGAATTCTCTCTTTATGTATATTATTTATACCTGGGTCCTTTAAAGACCACAAGAGCAACAATACTCAGGTCTTTCCCTTTTCTTCACAATATTACAGCTCTCTCTATAAAATCTAACAAATGAGTTTCATAAATCTTTAGTCCATTTGAATTAGCATAAACTTTATACAATTATTTTCAAGAAAAAAAATACAAATATCAGTCAATATCAAGCTTTATCATTTCCTTTAAATGGATCACTTTTGAGTTTTATAAATACTCTCAAGTATATTTAAATGATTTACAATACAACCATGATTTATTGTTCATTCTTAATATTAATAATTTATATTTCTTTTTAATCCAGTAAATTTGTTTTTTTGAAACAAAACATTTATTGGTACATTTTAGATCTATATAATGATAATATTCATCATAGGAAATTTGTACCTGTACATGATATATCTTGCTTCTTTTTTTGCCATTTCCCTCCCCCTTTGACCCCTCTTCTCCTTATTTACAAAACTTTGTTTACATTTTTTTTCTATTCTTCCACTTTTGGTTTCTCAAATCAAAGAAACAATGCTGTATTTAAACATTCATGTGTCCAATTTATCTCACTTAATAGTGTTGTCTCAAGGCGCACCCACTTAGCTACAAATGTCTCCATCTTATCCTTCTTTATGGCACAGTAGCACTCCATTGTATAACAATACACATTTTCTTTTTTTATTCATCAGTTGATGGACACTTGGGCTATCTCCAAAATTTATTTATTACAAACTGTGCCAGTATAAACATGAGCGTGCATATATCACTGTGGTATGATGCTTTTAATTCTTTTGAGAAGATACCAAGAAGGGGAACAGCTGGGTCAAATAGAACCTCTAGTTTTCATTTTTTGATTTTTTTTTTAAATCACCCTGATTGCCACAGTGATGGCACCACTCTACACTCCCAGCCTCAGCAGAAAAGGGTCACTTTTTCCCAGTAGTTCTGATAGCATTTGTTATTGGTTGATTTCTTGATAGCAGCCATTCTTTCTGGGGTGAGGTAGAATCTCAGTGTTGTTTTAATTTTCATCTCTCAAATGACCAGTGATGTTGAACACTTTTTCATATTTATTTGCCATTTGTACTTCTTCATCTTAGAAATGTGTGTTCATCTTTGATGCTCATTTTTGGAGTGGGCCTTTAAATTTGGGGCTCTGATTTTTTTGAGTTCTTGATATAGTCTAGATATTGGTCCTTTGTCTGAGGGCCAACTTGCAAAACATTTTTTTGTCACATTGTGGGTTGTGTCTTTACTCTGTTGATGGCTTCTTTTGCTGTTCAAAGGGTTTTTAATAAGATGAGTTCCCAATTATTGATTCTTTGTGATATTTCCTGTTCAATCAGGGTTTTATTCATAAAGTCTTTGCCTACCCCAATGTCTTTAAGATTTCTATGTATTCTATCGTTCAGCATAGTGTTTCTGTTTTAATATTTAGATCTTTGATCAATTTCAATTTTATTTTAGTGCATGGTGAAATATATGAGTCTAGTTTTAATCTTTTCTGTGTGGAAAGCCAATTTTTCCAGTATCATTTTTTTTGGCAAATATACAGTGGCTGAGTGTGTTTGGAGTTGTTTCTACATCTTCTAACCTGTTCCATTGATCCTTGGGTCTGTTTTTCTGCCACTACCATGCTGATTTTTTTTTTTTTTTTAATCACAGTAGCTTTGTAGTACAATTTCAAGTCAGGGATTGTGATGCCCCTCCCGTAGCTTTGTTCCCCAGATTTGCTTTTGCTATTCTCGGTTTCTTCTAGTTGTAAATGAATTTTAAGTTTGTTTTCTCTTGTTCTGTGAGATACGCTATTGGTATTTTGATTAAGATTACAGGACATCTGTATAATAGTTTTGGAAATATGGGCAGAATAAAAAGGTGCTCACCATTTTATTTTATGCGTTTTATAGCTTCAGATCTTACGTTTAAGTCTTCACAGGGTTTTAAGTTGACTTTTCATTGTGGTGTAAGAGTTCAATTTAACATTCTTTTTTTTTTCAAAGTATATTTTAAACCTTCTTTCCTGGTGTTTCAGGATGTTCTTACTTGATTTGGAGTATCGTTTTCTTTTATTAATTTTTTCAGTCATTTATATCCCCAAGTGTCCCAATTTCAAAAACTAACTTCAGGAAATATGTAGTCCCCTTTCCATAATCTGTGCCTAAGTCCTCAAATAGACATCTCCTGAAGATATATGTAGATTTCTTTATCTTTATAAGCAAAAGTCAGTAAAAGTATGAAAGACATTATAATTCTCCCAAAGAATCAGTTTTTAAATTCTATAAATTCTCCTAATTGAGGGTGACTTCCTTGCAATATGACCAGTGAAACTGTATAAGGTACAGCATTTAAAATGCCTCACTAGTGGGATTAAATGTTCCAGAGTCATCATTATGAAATTCTTGATGCTCTTATCTCTAAGTATGTGTTTTGTCAGTAAAGTCTTACAGTATGAGCTGGGGTCAAATGAGTAAGGTCAGATTCACATGAGGATAGGAAATGTGGCAAGCCATCTCAGACTCAAATGACCAGATCCATGGTACCCGTAAAGGAGATTTGGTGAATGCCTCTCAGGATACTGAACACATTTGTGACTTGATATCGCCTGGCAGTTTCTGGGTTCTCATAGTTTGTGGTGGCAGGCTTTAGGGTAAGGAAGACAGGTTGATGTCCTATTACTGGTCAGATTGGTCATTTTCATTTCACAGTGAAATTATGTAGCTGACCATACTTCTAATAAATCCCACAGCACAGATCTTTTCTATTCCAATTATTGTATGTTAATAGGAATTCTTTCTTTGCTTAGATACAGTTTAATGCTTCAAATAAAATAAGATCAATACAGAAGGTAAAAGACATTCCACAGTCACTGATTATTTTTCTCTTGGATGGATTCAAGAAATATTTTTATGGAGCTAAATTGAATTAATTTTATTTTGAAGGCAAGATTTATGCATATCTCAATAATTAGCACATGTAAGTGTAATTTGAGGGAAAATGAAGTTCTATATTTTATAGCTGTGAAAGAACATTTCAATACAGTTTGTTATATGGAACATGTGCCCAGATTCTGGAACTGCTATTTTCTGTATATTCTTGCAGCAGTCTTTGATTCCCAAATCTCGTTTTATTTATTTTTTTCTTATTTTTTATTTGGTTAAACCTAATAAAATACCTGAAAAAAATGAGATGCTCAATAAATATTAATTACTGTTCTTCTATGAAACATTCATCTTCTATTAACTCAGAAAAGCACTTTAACCTAATTACCTCCTAAAATATATCCCATAAGATATGGCCTAGAAGTCAGAACACTGACACAAAAATAACAAATTTAAAATTTACAACTAGATCAAAAATTTGGAGTTTCTGAAAAGATCTGAAGAAACAGTAGACGTAGCATTAAAGAGAAAAATATAACTTTTAAATAAAAACTGGTGATGTCATTTTGTTATTTTGATGATGATTAGGAAAACAGAAAGACCTTATAAAAACATGTCTCAGCTCTTTCATATAAGGGAATTTTGTACAGTATTCTTCAATAAATGTTTCTCAACTTTCAGTGAAAGTAATAAGTAGCCAAAGTCTCTTAACAGTTATTCTATGAAAGTTACAGAATAAAGGACAATCTACTGAGGTGCTTCATGGCAGAGACCAATGAAAATCCAGGAGGATGATTTAGTTGGTCAACTGGATAAAGTCACCATAGTAGGGACTCAGCCCAAACTTTTGAGATTGCCTTGATTATTTGTTGGAGAAAATGACATAATAATAAACTAACATTAAAAATAGAAGCAAACAGTATCAGATAAGTAACAGACACTAATTTGCATAACAAACACTTTGGACTCCTACTATCCAAGTACAGATAAGTAATCTGGAGCACAGAGAAGTGATTTGCCCTCCACTGCACAAATTATGAGTGGCATAGACAGGATTTGGACCAAGACTTTGCAGTTCCAGAGCCTAAGATATTAATCCCAATTCCATACGATCTTTCTGCCCTGGTTCTTCTTTTCCTAAAAGAAGTTAATGGAATTTCAATTTTCTACAGATGATATTTAAATTCCACTAACTTGGATCTCTTTCTCTCTTTGTTAATAAACATTGGAAAAACAAGTGAACAAAAACGTAAAACCATAGCAACATATTTTTCACAATATGTAAGGAGCTGTGCTTAATATTTCTTTTCCTTTTCTCTCAAATGCTTGGGACAGTATAATAATTTTTTATGTCCCAGAAACTATGAGGTAGTAGAATTTTAAGTGATTTTCCATTATATCTATTTTATTTTTATTTCAGCCTAAGTTTTTTTCTTTACTTTTGAGGTCATATTCAAGTGATACTATTCATATAGTGATTGGTCAATATATTTAAGTAGGTAATTTTTTTAACTTATAAAGCAGCTTAGATCCCCCTACTATTTCTCATAATATGTTGTCAAAAAAGGGTACATATCTAGATTAGACTTTGCAATTATTATTGCATTACT